CCCCAGGAGAGCACAGTACTATACAATGACATCCTTGACGTGCAGCCTTGATAATAATAGTATCGCCGAAAGAGGCTCTGCCACTGTATGGTGTTTGGTAAGTCCACTTGAATCCAACCAATCCCACAATGAACCTCTTACCTTGTGGTATTCCCAATACCATTCCATTGATGCTTGCAAATAACCTTGTATCCATCCGATCCAGTATGTGCTGCTGCTGTTTCACTGTAAGGTTCGTTAATTAACAGCTTTCGCTTTGTAGATCCAATACCATGCATACCATTGAGCCAACCATACAGCATTCTTGCTTTGAGATCCGTATCCTGTTGCTGCCAGAGGTACCATCATCCAACATGTTCAACCTACCATAAACGCAATGTGAGATAACAAGTATAACCAACCCACATGCTTTTGTTGTCAGCATACCCAAAAGAGGCAATGTAAAGACGTCTTGAGAACTCCCATTGTGGACAACTGGGTAAGGAATGCACACGACGCCTGATTGAGTCTTGTATAGACGAGACAACACCAACCTACACGCGAACTTTAGTACCACAATGTTCGACTTGAACAATAAAAGGAATTGCAGCGATTGAACTTACATGTTGTATTGGAATGGAAGCTTGTGTCATGGGTAGATCGCGCACGTGCTTGTTGTAACTGAATGTGTCGCCCTTGACCACCTGTTCGCCCATTGACGGTGTGCATTGTTGGCAATGCCAGAAGTTAGTGTTGTGGAGTGTGTAAATGGAGTTGGTCTTACCTTGCATAGTTGTGAAGCGGGAGTGGGAACGTCGTTCCTTTCATTGTTCCTGATTTGTGCACTCCACGCCGCCCCGCTTGTAACAGTGTGTGCCTTAACAATATCCTTTACACTTGAATCGATAACGACAATGCGAGGTTTCATGTGAGTATTAGCCCTCGAACAAATAACCCGAATCACTATTTACCAAATAATAGCCATGTATGCACGAAGACATGTTGACATCCAATGATAGCTGCATTCATGAACCCCCAAAGAACCAGAAGAGAAATAGCTTGCTGAGTAGACCACATACTACAATAAACGAAAGAGGTTGGCAGGCGTTGTAGAAACGAATGGATCACTATTTACCAATGGTAGCCATATGCACGAAAACATGCTGACATTCAATGATAGCTGCATCCATGAAAATCCCAAAGGACCAAACGAAAAGTAGCGTGATGAATAGCCCGCATGCTAAGATAAAAGCGGAGGTTGGCAGGCGTTGTAGAAACGAATGGATCATCAATTACCAATGGTAGCCATATGAATGAAACCCTGTCGACATCCAATGATAGCTGCATCCATCAAGAATCCAAAGGGCACAAGACAAGTAGCTCGCTGAATAACCCACATGAAAGAGGGTGTTAGTAGGCGTTGAAAGAAAGAATGGATCACTATTTACCAATGACAGCTTCATCCATGATAATCCCAATGCACCAGAAGACAAGTAGCTTGCTGAATATCCCACATCTATAATCCCAATGCTCCAGAAGACAAGTAGCTTGCTGATAGCCCACATACATAATAAAAGAGGAGGTTAGCAGCCGTTGAAGAAGAACACGGATCACTATTTACCAATGATAGCCATACGCACGAAAACATGTCGACATCCAATGACAGCTGCATCCATGATAACCCAAAGAACCAGAAGACAAGTGGCTTGCTGAATAGACCACATACTATAATAGACGTTGAGGTTGATTGGGATTGGTGCCAAAACACGGACCATCCACTATTTACCAATGATAGCCATATGCACGAAATCCTGCTGATATCCAAATCAAGCCGATTCTTTGCAATCGTCCGCTTGTTGATAAGGCCCGCTACAGTGGCACTCGGCTTGAAAGCGATGGAACGATACTTTATGGGCATATGCAGTGAGAAGGTTGAGTAATACTAATACCACCAAAGAGAGCATACTTACATGATGCCGAAGAGCCCTTACAAAGAGAGACAACGAGACAATCCTTGCTGCCCAAGACCACATGCAAATCGAGAAAGCATTGTGCATCGAAAAGCCCAAACCAGATCCTAGCTGCGGAGTGACGTACATATGGCTAAAGAGCGATGTGAATGGCAATCGTTTTTCATTGGAAATCGAATGCAGCTTGACGATGAATGCCTTGAGGAGATGCATAAATGACCTTGGTAACACCAAAGATGTCAACG